AAAAGCTTGAGAATGACTTGTGGGGGACAGAGATACAGACCTGAGAATTGTTCAGAAAGAAGCAGAAACATTGGCCATGAGTATGTGTACGTGTGCACGCACACACGCATGCACGCACACACGCACGCATGCACACACAAAAACGTTCAAGGACTTCCTGTCTCCTCAGAGAACAAGAAGCAAAAACATTGGCCATGAGTATGTGTACGCACGCACGCGCACACGCACGCACGCACACACTCACGCACACACGATGTAGAGAGCAAAGAGAGTGAGGACAGAACCTCCGACCAAAACGTTCAAGGACTTCCTGTCTCCTCAGAGAACGCTTGGTTGACGGCAGGAGGAAGAACCCAGGAGAATTCGGGAACGGACACTCAGGAAAGGAGTTTTAGGGAGTCCAGGGTATTTGGAGGAAGGAGACTAAAACAGTCTGGAATGAAGCCACTCACCTGAGAAAGCCGCATAACTTGTGAGGATGAGGGAGAAGATGAGGATGCTTCCATCGGGCATGGCGTTATGGACTCACCCTTGGATTTCTCAAACTTCATCTTCCCAAGTTTTGAAGGCTGGAGATCGAGTTTGCCTTCAGTAGTTTTCCGTTTCTTTGACAAATGGTTGTTAGTACCTGTTTTTGTTCCATCCAGGTTCAAAGGATGTCTCTAGCTGAACCCTCTCTGGGCTCCCTCAGCAGGTGTGCTAGTGACGGGAGGGGCTGGGGCAGCGGTAGGTTAAGATAGAGAAGTTGGGGTCCATCTTTCTCACACTCCCCACTTAGGCAAAACACAGTTCTCATTCACTCTGTGTGGAGGAAGGTACATATAATTTTGCTTATTTATCACAGTTAGAAATGTTAATGAGAGATTTTAGTAGAAAGTCACTCCTCAGGTTTGAGTCAAATAGAGTTAGCAAAGAATCCCTAACGGCTCACTACCCAACTTGATTAACATACGCATGAGCATGAACGCCAGAGGTGATAAACACCACCTAGCCACTGCAGAGGCCAGGTCCTGGGTACATCCCACTGACAGTGTTCCAGGCTATGATGGCCCATTCTAAATGACACGAGCTGGTAGATCTTGAATGTGGGTAGACCTGTAATGGATTAGTTACTTAGTCCTGATCTAGCCTGGGCTTAGTCCAAAATTGGGCTCAGCAAATGTTTCTAAAATAATGGCTTCTCAGCAACCACTTACCTTTCTCAAAGGAAGCCCAATATAGGAAATACAAACAGAAAATTTAAGATGTAACAAATTATAAAGTTCTTCTTTTGGTTAATAATTCACTGTAGTTTCTCTTAAAAGTTCATTACTAATGCTTATACAATAATTCAGCTCAGGTGGGAGGCAAGCTCGGCGAGTGTCTGCGTTAGCCCACACACTGCAACCATACACAACATTTTGGCAGCCCAGATGCAACCCTGTTCCCACCTACTTTTTTTACTTGCTGTATCTCTCTGCTTCCTCCTCCCACCCCTTACTGGTCCCATAAAGGCTGTGTGCATGCTATTTTAATTTATTCACTATTTCCTAACTAGATAATATACCTTTATGCAAGAAGACTAGTCATCCTTTTTATTAGGACATGATACTAATTTCCTCACTAATAACAGAGCACTATAAAATCGCACATCAGAACACCAATCTGACCTCCCCAGCCCCACATGCCAGAACAACAGGCTCCAAACTGCAGTGGCTGCAGAACCCTCGAGATAAACAGGCGATGGTGGGGAAGTTCTTACTCAAATCTAAATGCAGCTGCTGCTTGCTGGTCCAGGCTGAGATCACTAGGGTAGATTGTGCCGAAACATTTCTCTGATGCTGTTTCTAAAACAAACAACCAAAAAAGACAGGTCCCAGCTTGTCTCTGTCGGAGTCAGTCAACAGGTGAGGGAGGAGAGCAGAGAGAGGCACTGCGGTCTAAAACCAATGCTCATTTTGGTTTCGTCGTTCCAAAGCATCAGTATTTTCTGCAAATTAGAAGAAATTCTTTTTTTCCATAGACTGGCGAACAGATTTTAAGAAGGTGATTTACTTATCCAATTTCCCATCAACCTCTTGACCAAGTTGAAAGGGAAAATCCATTGAGAATTCCTAATGCACAGGGTATCCAAAAGTTTTCTACAGCTCATATAATTAATACTAACTCCAGTTCATTGTAAAACTCTTTACGGTTTGCCAGCTGCTTTCGAATATATTCTCATTTAAAGTAACAATGACATGTGAAGTAAGATAAACAGCAATAGAAAATTTTGCTAAAGACAGGTAAAATCGGATGTAGTAAGGGCGAGGAGACTGTGACCATGGTAAGAGGGACTGAAGCATCACCGGTTCTCTGGGAGCGGCAGAAATCTAGTTATAAAAAACTGCAAGAGGCCCTTGTATAAAAGAGTTTATCTGCAAAAGGAGATAACAATAATGGTTATTTACTGGATTGAGGACTACATGGGCTGATTTATTTAAAGTGCTTGGAACAGGGCCAGGCACGTATGACCTCATGCAGTAACAGTTACTATCTATTAAAATTAACAGTAAACAGTAAAGAAGGGTGCTATTTAAAGGTAATAGTTAAGAACCTCTTCATTAGACAAAATCTTTTCCTGGGAAGCTACTTTCCCTCTTAAAACTGAAGGATGCCAAGGAAAGCATTGAAGAAAACAAATATATTTTTGCTGAGTAATTTAATATCTCTCTCTCTCTATAACGTGTCTATATATAAAAAATAGGGTTCATATGTTAACAATTTAAGAAATATCACACTTATGAAATGTAATTCTCAAGCATATTTTATTGTTCTCACTTCCACTTAGATCCAGAAAATAGCTTAAAAAAGAGACACCTGGGAAATATGAAAGCTGCAGAGTTCTAGAAAGTTAAGATTCTGTGTCCTTCAAAGCAAATGGTCACACTGTATGCTCCTTGCTGAGTATGCACTATTTTCTAAGGCTACCCTGAAATTCCTAAAATCATTCAGAAATTCTTTCTCAGCCTATTAAAATAATAAAAAATCATAGTCTACGGGTTCTAAAAATGGCATCTAACAATCTTGTGGTGTTCCAATCTTGCCGTGGAGTTCCCAGCTCCAAGAACTTCCCTTCGGCACCTCCCCCTGGTCTTTCTAGCTGACCCCGTTATTCCATCTGACCTAGGTGCATCTCGCCGTCTTCCTAAACACCCACTAGTTTCCTCCTCCAGCGCACAATTCAGTATATTCTCCGGGCTCTCATTTTTATTGGTAAAGTTAAAGTCAATTAAAAAAGACAAAAAATCAGTCTCTCTCTAAATATATATGTATATAATGTGTATCTCCCAGTCTAAACATACATACATACATACATATATTTATCTATCTATCTATCTATCTATCTATCTATCTATCTATCTATCTATCTATCATCTATCTATCATCTATCTATCTATCTATCTATCTATCTATCTATCTATCTATCTATCTATCTATTATCTATCCATCTAAAGATATTCCCTTTAGGTTCCATATATTCCCTTTCCTTCTGGAATTCATTTCATATACAAGATAGGAGAGGCAGAGGAGATAAATTGGGCATGTGCCCTCTGTGAAGAAAAGTGACTTTAAAAATCGTTGATGTTTTATTAGACTGGATCATAGCCTGGGATTCTAAATTCTGGAGGCCATAATAAAACTAAGAAACTAGACCTCAGACTCTGAATTTAGAATTTTCTTGGTGGGTTGTGTGTGTGTATGTGTGTGTGTGATTTTTAAAAACCATTAACACTATTCAAAATTCTTAAGGGACTAAAACCAAACATTCTTAATATATTTTCTCAATTTTAAGAATCTCAAGCCATGCTTCATATCTAATGTATGACCCTGAGAGTTAAAATCAAGGGCAAAAAGTCATCATCATTTTGTATATGCTATAAGTCAAGTGGAAAGCAGCACATAGCCTGCTCCACCCTGCCACACCCCCTCAGCTACTCTGACAGGCCTGTCAGAAGCAGGCCAACTGTCAGGACTGCAAGAGCAGGATGGGTAACAGGCAACTAGAAAGAGGTGAGAAGAAAACTAGAACTGAAAATAAGGAGGGAGCAAGGATGAAGGAATTAACAGTAAACAGAAGAAGAAGAAAAGAAGGAAGAGATGGAGAACAAAGAAAGGAAGAGAGGAGAAACAGGTAGAGAAAACAATAGGGCTAGACCTCCAAGTCGTAAGTTTGCATTTTCTTTTTCATTCTGTGTTCCAAAGAGGGTGTGTGAAGGTACCTGAAGTTATCTGGGTAACCAGCTCACAGGGAGACGCCAGGGTGTGGAAGGCAGTATAAACACAGTGAGATGACACCATTAGGTTTGAGCACGACGGAAAAGTATTTTTTACATTTATTTATGTACTATTGATACTTTTAAGAATTTTCATAAGGCAGTCCCACCCCAGAGAATGACTGATTTCCAGAAAAGTTAATTTCCTGATCTTAGACTCCCAGTTTTTCTAACTTGTGACGACCTCCTGATTGTTATAAATAAGGTGGAGCCCACTGTAGGGGATGCGTCCTCAAGCACCACCGACGGAAATACACCAGACTGTCTACTCTCTCTGAGGACCTGCAGGGCCTGCTGAGAGCTGGAAGCTGAAAGGTCCCCAGAGTCAGTTCACTTCTTAAACTTCATAGTCTTGTGGAGAAGACCTCAGAACACATGGCTGTCACTGCTTAGTGGAAGAGAGGGCATTAAAACAATTTCCCCATCGAAACCAACCAAACCAAAACAACTCTGATTTGGGAACGTAATCATATAATACCTACTTGGCAAAAATGTATGGCTGGCTATAGAACAAAAAGAACTATCTGAATCCAAACTATTGACTCTTAATCCTTTAATTAGACTAAGTCCTTCAGAAGGAAGCACAATTCATTGTTACTGAAGGAAATCAAGAGCAAATATAGACTGTGATATATCTACACACATGTGCACATACATTACTTGATGTAGTCATACACACATGAATGAACACTCAGGGTAAAGGGCTCAGAGTCTAAAAAGAAATTTATTTGTTTATGAGAGCCATGATTTGGAACAGCAAAAAGTTCTTCTGGGAATATGATTTGGGAAAAATGTGGTGATAGGGCGAGACTCAGCAATCCACGGGCATGTCAAAAGATGCGCCCAAACTCTCTTGGGTGAACTCTCCTCTGACTTCGGGCCAAAGGTGTTTGCCTGGCAGTGCCCCGACATCTGAGTGGCTGCAAGGCCCTGGCTCGAGAGAATTTACTTGGAATCTTTCCTCTTTTTCTTCTTCTTTTTCACTGGTGTTTCATCTAGAGTAGCATCCACTGCTGCCTCGACTTGCTTTTGGAGCTTTTTCTTTTCTCTCTTTTTTTTGGGCTTTTGTGGTAAGTCCTGGTCATCAGGTGGCCACACACAGTCCTCTCCATCCTCAGCAGAAACACTGGAATGCTCACCCCAGCGAGGATCTCCGAGCTGCTGCTCAACTTGGTCTCTCTTCTTCTTGGTCTTGGGTTGGGTATAATTCTCCACATTATTATCTTTTGCCGTTTTCTTTCTTTTCTTTCCTCTTTTCCTTTCCATTTGGGTCTCAGGCCCTATAGCTGTGACCTGTGGTTTGTTCTTTAGCTCTGCCATCCTCTTGGCGAAGTACTCCTGGATGGTGAAGGCACTGGTCGTCGTAGCAGAGGTCTCATCCCCGTCCGGAATGGTGGGGCTGGAATCATCCTAAGGTGTGGGAAAAGAATTAAAACCAGTTAAGCATCAGCATCCTCACAGCATCCAGGACTTTGGCTGGAGCCACTCGTAATCCGCAGTTAGAGACCAGGCTGAGTACCCAGCTTCCCCTTCATTGATTTATTCCCATCAGGTACAGCTGAACTGCAAGGCAGAGAACAAAGTGGTCAGACACATTGGCTGAATACGACGATATGGGGAGGTAGGCTGAACAGACTGAAGCCAACTTCAGAAGTTAGCTGGCAAGTCATCTAATAAAATTCCGAGTAAATGACACCTTAAAACAATGTTATAAATGGTAATTTATAAGTTCCCAGTCTCCCATGAAAAATAGGGACACTGAAGTTCTTGAGTTTTGAGATTTTGTTAGATACCCATTTCAGCTCCATTAAGGATTATGCAAGTATTTCTGCATTGACCTGAAGCTTAGATGTCATATGTATATGTTAACCCTTTCTTTAACAGGAGCCAAATGCCAACCTAGAACCTGGCATGTCAGGAACACTTTCTTTCTCCTCCAATAATTACCTGGCTTCTTCTTTCATATTCATTATTTGCATAGGGAGAGACCGGATGGTTGTTCGACCCTCTTGTGTTGGGAGGATGGGAAAACAGTTTTCTGAATAAACCAGTTTCCAAATTAGGATTCTACAAATTATTCTGAACTTGGTGGGAAAAGCTCAACTTCATTGCAAACCAACGCATATAAATGGACCATGCATTTTCTTGATACAGAAGCACTGAATAACCAGCTCAGTGGACTGAAAGTAGCATCACATTTGAAATTCTGGCCCAGAGAGTTCTCACCAAAGGGTACCTTACCAAAAACACTGTAACTCATCCAATGAACACAAACCTTATTTTACTCAGGCTTAAAAAAAACACAAAATCATGCAGTCAAATTTTAAAGTTTCAAAATGTAAAATGCAGAACATGTGGAATAAACCAACTGAGCTTTGGGAAGAAATTTAAATGGTATCTATTAGCATTCAATTTTGGCTGGAATCTCATCAGGTAATTTTGAGAAAAATTTAAAAACAGCGATACAAAAACAAGGTCGCTTTGTCTTTTTGTTCCTCAAATGTTGAAAAAGAGCTGAAATTTTGCGTAGCAGATTGGAAAATCTTCTCAAGGCTCTCTTGGTGCGAGCCAATCCCAAACTGATGGACAAGAAAGGTCTTGCCTTCCATTTAAGGGCACACAGCCACAGTCTCTGTGAGGTGGCCTGTTTATGTAAAATAGGTCTCATTTAGTTTCACTGCATCAAAAGGAGTTTGTCTTATGTGAGTCAACTCATCTGGAGTGTATCTGTGTCTTAGGAACTCAAAATCAACTTATATCTTATGGCTCCTTTCCTTGCTCAACTCTTATTACCTTCTGAATTCCTGCTTTTCACAGTTAAATCACAGGAACTAATTGCTGGTATTAATCACACTTTTAATTATTAGGAAATATAAGACTGGTTTTTTTGAGTCACTTGTTTAATTCAGAGGGCTTTTTCTAATTCCAGAAAATAACTATGCTTATAACCAACTCCTCCAGTGATATGGATTTTAATAATCATGGGCCGCTGCACACTGAGCTTAGCAGGGCATGGAGACAAGCAAGAGAGGTGCCAGCACCCGAATCCTATTTATCCCAAGGAAAGTGTAGGCAGAACAATGACTTGCTGGGGAGAGCCCTTCACTGCCAGGGGCAGCCACCCTCCCACACTACAGCAATGTATGTTTTAAAAACCATGGAAACAAAGGTGAAATAGGTTGCGAATCTGATTCCAGCAGGAGCAATGCCCAGGACTCATATTTTATAAGCTCATAATTTATGATTTTATAAATCATAAATCCAGTTTTACTACAGCAATTATAATCTGTTTCTATATTCTTGGCAATGAATATGAAAAAATGTACACCTTTTCAAGAAAACGAATACTTTTCATATCTGGTCTCAACTTCAAAGAGAATGAGCACTGAGAAAAGCACCAGTTACTTTTAGCATTTTGAAATAGAGACAATTTGCATCTTCCCACATTTCCATTCAACTCATAATGCCTCAAAAAAAATCCATAATACCAAATATGACTATCACTACTTTGTCAACTTTGAGAATGTCCCAATTTGCTAACAGTGTTCTAAAAACTAGTAAAATAAATGTATAAATAACTTGAAAACTTCCAGTTCCATATAAAATACTACCAGGGGAGGTGTGCTGAATGAATCATCTTACGACATTTGATTTAAGCTTAGGGATTCAAGAAACCTCTTTTTAAAAAAATTCCAATCCCTGCTGTTAACTAGAGGAGATGCTCGGGTAAATCCCACAGCCTGTCTGGGGCCTCGGTCATCTAATCGAGTCAGATCAGTAGGTTAAATTAGTTGACTTCTAAGATCCCTCAAAGGTCTAAAATTTACTGGTGTCTGAAAAGACATTTGAGCTGGCTACTCCTCTGTGATACAGGTGAGCAGAGAAGAGATAGTGAGGCAGTATCAGCAGGCAGCAGAGATAAGCTTGGTTAATAGAAAACTATCACCTCAACTGTCAAGATGCAGAAGTGATGCCAACGCACCTATAATCTACTTCCATGAAAAATATTTTTACACCACCTGTAAGAAAGCACACAGCCAAAGGGCAGATCCAGTAATACCACTGAGCTAAAAGAGCCAAATACTAGTTTGCGTTGAATCATTTTTTAAGACTTTGTTGGGAAAAAAAAAAAAAAATCGACAATATATAGAAGCTAAAATCGATTAAAACAAAAACTGGAATGACTATTAACTGGAATATGAATTTATTTCAAACTTAAGTCCTGGAAATCACCCCAATACTTCTAAGAAAGGTGGTAAAAAGCTGGAATTTTAAAAAATGGTAATTCCCATCTTGTAGTTATGGTTTTGAAGGTAGGTTCTTTTTTTTTTTTTTATGTACCTTGGCTTGAATAGCTCCACTGATCCTTTGCATCCCCTAAATGTGTGTCCTCACCAGGCAGAGCATGAGGAAAATGCTCAAGATGCTCTCTGGCTGGAACTGAAATGTGGTAGGCTTCTGGAATGAATGACCTGGTCCTTCTCCCTCGCCTTTTATGCCTCCACAGCCTAAGATTCTCTAAGTCCCCCTCAAACACTGAGCGTTTTCATAGCTGTCTAGTAATGGCAGATGCAAGGAGAGACATAGGCTTTTACTTGGGTACAGTGGGGGTAAACGGGCAGAGTCTCTATGAGTGGGAGCGAGTGCTCTGCCTGTGGGACCTCCAGCCTTTCTGCTGACCACAGTGTCCTGTCAGTTTACAGGTGTATCACTCAGCTGGGGCAGGGACCTGTTGCATGTAACTGCGCATGTCCAGGGCCAAACAGTATGCCTAAGATGAAGAAGCTTTTCAGAGAGTTCAGTGGAGGAGAAGGGGAAATGGCAAGAGAATTAACAAAATCTTGTTCTAGATTTGTAATATGTCCACTGTTCTACTTCCCTTCCATAAATTAATAAGAAAGACCCAAAGGCACAGTTAGACTCCTGAAATATTTTCCATGTATTATAGAAGCTACTCTTTTTAAAATACAAAATAAAAGTTTCTTGTTCTTAAAAATGGTTTTACTGGTTAATCTTGTTTGTTCTCAGAACACCTCTGTCTTCTCATTTCTTTCAGAGCCGATGAGTGTATAGTGTGTGTTAAAAAACATCTGATGATCGCTTTTCCCAGACGATAGCTAGGGCCTTAATATTCTGTGGGCTAGAACTCAAAAGTACCTATTCCCTGCTTCACAGAACCTTAATGGTTTAAAGCCAGAAAAGCCCTTCGAGATTGCTTCCTTCGATCACATATGGAAACTACCCAAAGAGACCATACCTGGGTGTCCAGGAAAAAAGCAGCTGTTGTTTTCGGATGCGTTCAATGTGCCAGTCACTTATGATCACTGTCATCTCACGTGACTCTCCCAGCAACCTGAGAAGAGGCGTTCTCCCCACTTTACAGAGGTAGGAACTGAGACTCACAGCACCTCATGTGCAGGAGGACTCATGGCAGGAACTGGAAGTATCAGGATTTGGCTCCAAGGCCACCAGGCACAAAGCCCTCACTCTCTCCACTACAGCGTCCTAACTTCTAGCCTGCATCACATAGACTCGCTTGTCCCTGTTTCTCTCTTTAGAAATCATCCTAACACTGAACTATACATCAGTTGGTCATGTAATCCAAGGAGTAAGGTCCATGGTGAATTTTGTTAGGGCAGAAGTTCACTGATGCAAAAGCTTCAAGTACAAAAAGATGTCACCAGAAATAGATACCACTTTCTAAACAGAAAAAAAACCTCTTCTATTATCTAGTTTGTAATTTACATTTTAAAAAGTCTAAAGCCAGGCTTAAGTATTCATAATTTGTCAAATTAACATGTAAATTCACTTGGCAAAGTGGGAGTTCTTTAAAGCAGGAAGTAAAACCCAAGTCCAACCCTTCTACCTGAGGCAAGACTCTTTCCTGGGCACTTCCAATACAGACCGTGATTACTCGGTGTGGCAGGCAGTCTATTTCACCGTGAACTTGCTTTGTCTCAGTTTTTTCCTCAGCGATAGGCAGATTCAAGTGGTTCATGTGTGCCATGATTAGAGTTGCAGAATCTTAAAGCCTAAACCTATTTCTGGCAACTCTGAATTCCCACTGGGATTGGGGATGGGGTGGTGGTGTGGGAAGCGCGGATGCAAAGGAAACAAGACCTTGCAGAGAGAAATCCTTAAAATATCAATTATAATATACCATAATCATCTAAGGTACCTGCAAGATGCCCCAAACTATGCAAGCCAACTTTTCTCAAATGTCTACAGGTATTCTCCCTAGAGGCTTTGCAGTTCAAGCTCTTCTGGGTTCCTCTCTGTCATTCAAATAAATGTACCGAGATGAATTAACAGTAAAATACCCAAATAAAGAGGATTTTCTTTATTATTCTCATTAGAATGTTAGTATTTTTTGGATTGAAAATTTGCTGAGGTGTTTTGGGGCAGATGCA